CCCCAAAACCCCAAAACCCCAAAACCCCATTATTCTAAATATCAAATAATAAATGGTAAAAATATAAAATAAATTTATTGAGTAAAACGTAATATATATAAGGCTAATCATTTTATGATATTCAATTATTTGAGAATTTAAAAAAATGTTAGCACAATACTTTTTTTTCACAGCATTTTTGTTTTTGATCATGACAAAAATATCGAAACAGCTTTCAATTTCATAAGACATAGTTCAAAAGGATTTAATAACCATCTTGATATATGGAGATGCAAGTATTGATGATATAGATAGACAGCTGAATTACACTTTGCCACTATAGAAGCATGAATTTGAGGTGATTGTTGCAATTAAAAACAAATCAATGGTTGATATGATAAATCCTCTTTACAAAAATGAGGAAAAAATCAAATTTATTGAGAACTAAGATGTGGATGATTTTGCAAAGATTCTCTAAGCTCATTTTAACAATATTCAAGGAGAGTATATAGTATTAATTCAAGCAAAAACTTAGAGTAAGATTAATAGAACCAAAGAATAGCTCACTTAAATGAAAACCTATAATTGCAATGTATCAGTAACAGATTTAGAGATTATAAATGAAGCAGATGAAGTCTTGGATAACTCTTACTTAATTGACATTGACTATACCAGGAATTTAGATCTTATCCTATTTTCTGAAGATTTCAGATTTTATGCAACACTTTTGATAAGTAAAGCCTATTTGGGCTAAATACTGATATCATAACCATCAATAAACAAATACGATGCGATCTAACGAATTGTGAAAGATGGGGATATTCATATGGTGAATACATCATTAGTACAGATGACTTTCAAGCAATATCAAGAGATGTTATTTTAAGACACAATCATGAGACCTTAGCAAGATCATATAAAATACATGCACTATAACTCTCACTTGAATAGGATTAACATCAAGATCTAAACAGTTCAATTTTCAAAACTTTTAAATTGCTCATTTGACTATTTACTATGTGACGAAGATACAATGAGTCTTGTAGGATATCTGATTATGCATTCTTATTTAACTGATAATCTTAGAGATCCTTTTAACTCAAGTAGCTCTGGTTTCTTGTAGACAGATTCTCTAAAACACATAGAATACATTTACAGCTATTTAAATTTGTAAGAAATAGCACGATAAAATCCAAAAGCATACCCGTTAGCCTCTGTAATTATGGCTTGCTATAACAGAGATTACTATCTTTGGAAATCTATTTAGCATGTATTATAATAAACCTATGTTAACTGGGAATTAATTATCTCAGATGATGGCTCGAACAATCCAAAAACTCGATAAATTCTTTAGTTGGTTTAAAATCATCCACGAATAAGGGTTTTTTATCTTCACACCAACTAATATGCTGTTTTTGCATTAAATCACGGTATATCATAGGCAAAAGGAGAATATCTTTCTATATAGGATGATGATGACATTATGGTACCTTTTAGACTGAATTACCAAATTGATTTTCTCCGTAGAAATCAAAAATACGAAGCATGTGGAACAAACTATATTGTTATAAATGAAATTGGTTATCCAAGTAGTTATGGAGGATATAGAGTGAAAAACTTTGCTTAAACAAAATTTACTTACTTGTTCTTAAACCATATTCCTCATAGTTCTTTTACTGTTAGGTTAACTCCTAGAATGAAAAAGCACTTCATTTACAACCATTCGACAGCTTATGATTATTCTCTTTGGTTCAAACTTATATTTGATCTGAATGAAGATATTAGATTTGCCGTATTACCAAATCCTGTAACGGGAATTAGGTTTCACAGACAAAGAATGACTCATGATAGTATTGAAACATAACACTATGGCAAATGGATTCCAGTAAAATAAATAGAGATAGCTGAGAGAATCATTCCAGATATTTTCGATAATTTGAGTTACAAATGCTATTTGGAAACATTGTATAAACTTAACTATGAATAAGATGTTGAGACATGCAAGGATCAAGATATTCATCAATTCCTTTCCCAAATTAATAACGGTCTAAGAAATTTACCATAGATGTCTTAAAATGACATCTCAAATCTTGACTAAATATTTGATCGTTTTCATATAGTATACGACGAAAAACTAAAGGAGGATAAGGTTAAATACCTGCATTAAAGGAGAACTTTCGACTGTGTTTTACATTTTGGAAAAATAGAACTATTATTACTTCACATTGATCAATTAAAAGACTATGTTGATTATTTCGCTATCATCTATTTAATACCTCCTTAAGAGTAGGTTACCTTAGATGAAATTTTTAAGCATTAAGTAATCTAAGACAACTAATAAAAATTATTATTTGAATTGATTAATGTTACAGAGGAAGAGTATGAATAATATTAAACTAATCTTGATAAAGAAATAGCTTACAAATTTACCAAACTTCTTTTATAGAGAAAACTTTTTTATCATGAAGAAATTATTCTTACTAATTCTCATGAAATAATAAATCCATACTAACTTAGAAGATTTCAGAAACTAAATGCTGATTTTGGAATATTTGGATTAAGACCGCTTTCAATTATTGATTTACAAGAAGGAAGATAATATTCATAATCTAAAATAATGACCTATAAATTATTTGAGTAAATGGGATATTAAAAAGTTAGAAATTTCACCCTAGATCTTGATATTTTTAAAAAGGTTGGTCAACCAGCATTCGAGGATAAAATATAAACACTAATAATTGATAAAGATTACATCAATATTCATACTTTAAAAGATGCTGGTGTTTATGTTGATGAGCAAGATGATTGCAGAAGTTCTTTTCAAAGTCAAATTTTATCATAAACTTCTAATTAAACATTCGCAGAAAAAAGAAAGCTTTAAAACTTTTTTACTTCAATTAGAGTTGATTTATAATCAATGTGCTATTAAAAATACAAATTACTCTATAAAATGCTGGATGATGAACTTTGATTAATTGAAATTCAAAACTTATTAATTTTACACTTATCTAATTCTCTCACTTATTAAAAATTTTAAGTAATGGGGTTTTGGGGTTTTGGGGTTTTGGGGTTTTGGGG